TCTCCACCGCGGGCCCTATTTGCGGGGCCCTATATGCCTCAAATAGGGACCGAAAAAAAGATATACCGCCCGGCAAGATTCTCTTTTTCCACCGGAAGGCGCTATCTGGACTACATATCTGCATGAAACTCCACTCTCGACCATCCCCTACCATCCCCGCCATCTCCCTTCTACTCAAATATGAACACCGAAGATCTGACTGAAGATTCGACCTTCTATAAAATCCGGCAACGAAAACGTCGATTGATTACGAGCTCAAATATGAGGACATATTCAATCCTACAGGCGACCAACCTATTGCTTGATGAAGATGACGAACCCGTTCACGGTGGATCTAGACCAGGAAAGAAACCCAATCTACCACGCAACTTCGAAGGCGCCTACCAAAAACTCATTGAGCACTACTTCGCTGAACTACCACTGTACCCCGAGTCTATGTTTCGTCGAAGATTTCGAATGGGTCGCGACTTGTTTTTGAAGATCGCAAAAGATGTTGAAGAACACAAGAATTATTTTGTTCAGAAGCCGGACGCACTTGGGAAGATGGGATTGCATCCCTTGCTGAAAATAACCGCTGCGTTGCGCATGCTTGCGTATGGATGTGCTGCCGACTGCAATGACGAGTACTTACAGCTCTCAGAGACCACTTCGATGGAAAGCATGGACAAATTTTGCAACTCTATTGTTTCTATTTACGAAGATGAATACCTGCGCCATCCAACGAAAGAAGATCTCGAAAGACTCCTCAAGATCGGAGAGAAGCGAGGCTTTCCAGGAATGCTCGGATCCCTAGATTGCATGCACTGGGAGTGGAAGAACTGCCCATCCGGATGAAAGGACAGTTCCAAGGAAAGGAGAAGGTAATTCATATTCAATCTCTGTATTATGTTGAGGGATTCTGAATGCAAATCCTTTTTTGGGCAGGTACCAACCGTAGTTCTTGAGGCCGTTGCTTCAGCAGATATGTGGATCTGGCATGCTTTTTTTGGCATGTCAGGTTCACACAACGACATCAACATACTGGACGCTTCCCCTCTGTTCAAGAATCTCCAAAACGGAATAGGTCCCAAATGCAAATATACTATCAATAATCACGAATACGAGATGGGTTATTACCTTGCCGACTCAATATATCCCGATTGGGCTACAATGGTCAAGACTCTGACGCAACCGCAGGAGCTTGATCAGAAACATTTTGCGAAGAAACAAGAAGCATATCGGAAAGATGTTGAGAGGACTTTTGGAGTACTACAGGCTCGATTTGCTATCGTCGCTCGGCCAGCACGAGGCTGGAAGCATCATAACCTGGTCAACATCATGAAGTCTTGTGTTATCCTCCACAATATGATTGTGGAGGACGAGCGAGAAGGGAAGTTCAACTTCGAGTATGACACCGATGAAAATGGGGTCATGACCACGGTCGAAGTCATCCGCCCAGTCGATATAACCAGCCCATCGTTTGATGAATTCTTATCCAACTATCAATCAATTCGTGATGTGGAAACACATTTCCAGCTCCGCAACGATTTGATTAAGCATCTCTGGGACCTTAAAGGTCGCTCTTCTGAATAGCCGGTCCTTGATCCATCGTTATAATACCTTCTTCATTTATCTTTTCATCGATCGATTGATCTTCCTTTTTCTATGATCAATGTTTTTCTCTTCTATCAAACACACTCTCAATCCTGCTTGTTCTTTCTTGATCATTTTTTACATCAAAAGAACAATTGATCGTTCTCTTTATTTCTTGTCGCTCTTTTTCTTTCTCAACTCAAATCTTTTGTATCAATTTCTCTTTTGCTTTTTTCAATGCTTCTTCATAAAGAAAGATAATCTTCAATTGATCAATCAATATGTTTCTTTCTTGTTTTTTTTTTAAAAAAAAATCCAACTTCTGAATGAAAAAGAACAAACAAATGATTCACCAATCATTTGTCCTATTTCCCTGAATTTTTGTTGTAAGAGAAGAAAGAAGTGATCGATCAAGAACAAACAGAAACAAACAATCAGAGATTATAAGCGAGAGATGATGAGATAGAACAATGAGCAACACAAAAAAAAATCAAAAAATAGCCTGAAGAAAAAAAAATGTGGGATAACTAATTGTTGGATTCGATGTTGGATTCAAGAGATTCCAGAATCTGCCGTTGCTTGAGTTCAAAGTATTTGCGGGCAGTTGGAGTGCAGCCCGTCAAATCTTTTGTCATGATTGCAGTGATCGCGTTTGTCTCGGCGGTATTTGCAATGGATTTCATCGATTGCGCTTCGATGTCGTTTTGTCGTTTCGCTTGAGTCGCTATTTCCTTCTGAGCCGCTGCCACTTCTTCTTTCCAGTCATCGTCTCCTTCCATTTTAGATCGGTGAATTGCTTTCGCCTTCTTCTTGCCAATAGGTCGGTCGGTAGCTGTATCAGTCTGGGATTCCTCTGCAACCGATCGGTCTTCTGCGGGTGTGGAGGTGGCTGGTTCCGAGGTCGGGAGAGATTGAGGCACTTCACTGCTTGGACTTCTGGCACGTTTTTTGGAATTTTTCTTCGCGGTGTTTTGACGAAAGTAGTCATGCCACTTGGGGCACTTCACAAGTATGTTGTAGCATCGGATATGAGAGAAGGTTGATCCTTGATCCTCAGAGTAAAGTTCCAGGGCCATGTTCAAGTGGTCTTCCAAGGAGGCCCCGCTTCGGTTCATGTTCTCCACTTGGATGACGCATGCTCGAAACTTGTTGATGTCCTTCTGGAGCAGTCCCCATCGACTCTTCACACTTTTCTGAGGACGCTTCGGTTGGGTGATGGCTCGACTATACAGCTTGTGGACTCGACCCCAGAACGTTGCCCCACTCTGGTCGGTTCCGATTCTTGCATCTTCGGTTATAGCTATCCAGGCCTTGCAGAGTTCGACATCCTCATGCTCCTGGTAGTGGCTCAATTTTGTACGCTTTGAATCGGAATCATCGCCTTCTTCCAAAGAGCCTGCGGCCTGGCTTTGGTTGTTATGGGAATTGATGACGGGGGTGTTTGGAACTGGGTAGAAATTGAATCAAGTCAGCATTGATTGTTCTTCCCAACATACATAGGAAAGAAAGAAGCTCATACCTCCTAGTGCCACCGGAGTGTTTGTGGTAGTCAACATCGCCGAGTTCGTGTTTGTCATTGAGGTTTGAGTGAGAAGGAGCGGATCCAGAGCGGCTATCGTAGACTAGTAGGTGTTTGTGATGTAGATTGGTGGGGGAGGACCGGGGTTTGAGGTGTTTGTGAAACCTTTCGAGGGAGGAGGATCACAGGTGAAGGTGAGGCCCTATCGAGTATATATAGATACAGCTCGATAGGGACTTTCGAGCTTCGTCCCTATTATAGGGCCCACATAGGGGCCGCGGTGGGCATCGTTTTGG